ATCTCCATACATTACAATCCATACATTCATCCACTGTGTCAAGCACATTTGTACATATGTCGACATCATCATTTTCAAAGCATTTTCTTTCTACTTGGACTTTTGCTATCAGCTCCTCATTGAGAGCTCTCATCTGTACCAGTGTGCATGCTCTGGTCTAGCCAGATCTGTAAGGTAAAACTGGGGCCATGATAATCGGGGGAGGAAGCATTAAAGAACTAGAGGAGCGTTGTGTGTTTTGTCGGTCCTGTACTGCACCTGGCTGACTTGTTCCTTCCTTGTGGCCCTTCTGAGGGGATGTCCTATTGTCTACAGATGGGCTTTGTTTGGGTCTCCATTCCAACCCTCCTCATTCACATCCATGTGATTGCTTCGTTCTCCTGAGAGACTATAATTCTTTAGGGGAGTAGAAAACCTCATATTTTTCCTGAGGGGCAGCTGGTGGTTTAGAACTGCTGACCCCACCACCTGTAGCCCACTAGACCCCTGGGGCTCCTTGCAAGGTGTCTGCACAGTCATCTGATGTAATCACTAACTACTACTAGAATCACAGCAAAGCAAATCATGAGTCCTCCGATGCCCCGCCCACCCTTCTGGGGCCTGGGCAGCTGCGGTGATTGACAGGAGGCGGGCAAGGCAGCTCCATCATTTGGTGACAGTGAGATTCTGAAGGTCAAGAGACCTCCTATTGGAAGGCAGTTCCCACCTCACCCCCCCATGACCATTAAAGAAGCCACCTGTCCCCTCGACATGGGCAACTGCAAGGGTAAAGCTCTCAGGGAAAGACGGGTCAAGTTCCAGAGTCCCCTTTCTGACAATAGATATGAACATTTTTTATTGTGATGAAACTTACATATGTGCCACCTATCCACTGTATAATTCAATGGTAATTACATGTATCATGTTATGAAACCATCCCCATTAACTTCCCAAACTGTCCCATCACTCTTAACATTCAGTGCTCCACATAAGCCGTATTTGCCCCCTCGCCCCCTGGCCCGCCCGGGGGTGTCGTGATCACCTCTGGCCTCTATGCATTTACCTAGTGGAGGTATCTCTGTACACGAGACAAATACATACGGTATTTCTGTTTGTGACAGACTCATTTCAGCGTGTTTCCAAAGTTCATCCATGTTGTAACACAATCAGAATCTCGTTTAATACTCTGTGGTGAGCACCACTCCCCTGCTGCTGATGGACGCTGGGGTTATGGCCAGCCTCTGGCTGTGTGGGCACTCACTCACTGTGGACAAGCATCCACGTGAGCGTTTTTATTTCGCTGGGTTTACATGGAGGTGGGAGCTGACCAACTTCTGTGTAGCAAAGAACTGCAATCAAGACAGCCAAGGGACAGCTGACAGAAGCGGGGAAACGCTGGTGAACACACGGCTGGGAAAGGCCGACTAGCCAGGTTCCATACGGAGCTCCTCAGACCCCGTAGAAAAAGAAGCGTTCAAGTGAAAGATGGCAAAGAACTTGTAAGGTCAGGGGAAGCCGCAAATCCACCTGCAGAGCCCCCCTGGAGGTGAAGCCCCCCTGGAGCACCCTTGGACCACAGTGCCCCCTCCCCCTCAGATGCATCTGTGAAGTCACCCAGAGGCCATCCAGTGAGATTTTTATGTCTCATCACTTGTTTCCCTCCCTTTGACTCGTTTTTAATTTGCTGTTTTTTTCTGCTTTGCTCGGGTTGAGGATTTCCTGTGTTTTAGGCTGTGTGGAGGTTTGGGGGTTAAGATTTGTTTTGGTGTATGAAATCCAGGATCGGTAAGCTAGAGACAGAAATGGGATGGATCGTGTCTTAGGATCACGGCAGGGGAGGTTGGGAGAAATGGAGGGCTAATAACAAGGAGCACAAAGATGAAGAAAATGTTCTGAACAGATGATGGTGGAGCCTGCCCAAGTCTTTTTGTAAGATATTCACACCACTGAACTGTACGGTATGTGAGACCACATACGTCTCGTAACACTGTTAACACAAAAGGAATTTAAAAAGATGCTACGGAGTTTTCCCATGGAAATGGGAGTAACCACCTACCAACATTCTCAGCACCATCAGACCCTGGGACACGGGACGCAAAGGCACAGCGGGACAGTATAGGCGGGCCACAAGCAGCCGCATGGAGCGCCAGTGCCGGTGGACAGCTGGGCATCTCGTGCACTGCTGGCGGACAAGTCCCGTTGGGCAGTCCCTGTGCAGCAGCTTGGCAGCGAATCAAAAAGTCCATCACAGAGTTCTCACGGGCGCATCCTGGGCACACTCACCAGATCCTGGGACACCCAGGTTCTTTTTCTTCCCAGCAAGCCCACACTTTCACTTATTTACTTCCCATAAAGTTTAAATCCTTGAAGGGCACAGCATCACACGGGCCCTGTGTCCAATGGCCTTAGCAGGCAGGCTGCTTCAGGATCCGGCAGAACCTGCCCCTGGCCCCACGGGCACGACTTACCTCTCCCTCACTGTCACTGCTCTACCCACCCAAGCACAGCTCTTGCCTCGGGAGCAATGGGTTTCATCTTGGGCGCCAGCAAACACCTTCAGTTTTAACAGAGCTGTGTGCCCCCTCTGGTTCTGGCAGTCCCACTCTGAGACAGCAAAATTGGTATTGGCCCACAGTCTTCCAGACCGATTTGCTGGCCCTGAAGTCCTGTCCCCTACAGGCAGGCCACCAACGTCCTCTGCTGCACTGTTCACAACAGCAACCCGAGTGCCCGTCCAGAGAGGAGCGGATACATGAAACGTAGTGTGTACACACACTAGGAGCCCAGCAGTTCAAAACCACCAGCCGCTCTGCGGTGAAGATGTACACTCTTGGAAACCTACAGGGTCCTTATGGGTGAGCTTCAACTCGGTGGCCGTGAGTTTAGTTTTATGCCTCCAATGAGAGCCATAGGGAGGAATGAAGTGCTAACACACGTCGTGACCTTGAACAGGTTGTTAGTTGTGGTCAGCTCTGCTTTGCAACAAACCCAGGAATAACAAAATATGACGCTGAGTACAGCCCAACACACCATCACAAATACAGCATGAGCCCACTCACAGGAGCCGTCTAGACCAGGTCCTGGTGCTTACCAGGGGCTGGAGGGAGGGACAGACGGCGGGGTCACTGCTTAAAGCACCCCCAGTTTCTTTCTGTAACGATGAAAAACATCAATGGTGATGTTTGCACAAGAGGGTGAATGCGATTTCCGTCACTGAATTGTACTAACACCGACAGTGTTTTGGTCACCTAACCACCATTTCCAACTTCTGAGGTCAACCTTGCGTCCACAATTCCTTCCTCCCATCTTGTTCTCGTCTGCAGGGAGGGCGCAGCAGAGCCACAACACCGGAGGATGCCCATCTCCACCCTGGCCTGCCTTGGCACCGCTCCCCAAGCACCAGCCACCTCCTGGTGCCCACCCTCCTTCCCATCCTGTTCCAGGGCCTCTTTCTGCCCAGAGGGCTCCTGAACTACATGCGCCTCTAGTTCCTCCACTGCCCCTCGGACCGCCCGCGTGCGGCTCTGCGGAGCACCCTGATGTCTCTCGCGAGAAGCAGGGAGAGTGTCCCAGCACAGAGGACAAGTCCATCTCAGAGGGCAGGAACCCGGTGGCACCCCCGCCCTCCCTCGACTTCCTCCTCCGTGCCCACGGGGACCCTCTGTGCAGGCTGCTGCCCTACCGTTTGGTCCCCACCCTCTGGTTCGGGGCGATGTCGATGGTGTCGGTGACTGCGTCGTGGCGCACGGCCAGGCCCAGGTCTGCGATGGCGCACATGCCGTTTTTCTTCACCAGGATATTCTTTGACTTCAAGTCTCGATGGGCGATCCCAGGCTTCCCTGGATTGCGGGGTGGGGGGAAACGGCGGCACCTTCACAGGAGACCGTGGCAAGGCCAACTGGCAGGGCTCCAGCCAGCTGTGCAGGCGCCGGCCTGGGTTTGCTCCCACTCACCCGGCCCCCCTTGTAGCCGCGCCTCCCCTGTACTGGCTCAGTGACGTAAGGGAAACAGACTGACAGGGCGGGCGGAGTGCCGTCGCAGACTATGGGGCACGTCTGTCCCCTCCCTGCAGGTCCACTAGTCATGCTGCTTGCCCCTCCCGGAACGGCGCTGTCCAGAGTGGACCGGCAGGGATGGTTAGCTTCCCAGAATCCAGCATGCCCCAGGGGTGCTGCTGCCATCGCCGCTAGGGCATGCTTTAGCACCCACCACCGTGAAGGGATCGAGGGGAGCCCTCAAAGTTGATACCACCGCCAAGAGCCGGGGAACCTTTCCGGTTAGTCAGGGCTGCAGCGCACACGGGCTCAGAGCTCCAGGGAAGGGGCGAGATCACAAAGCCACGCCCCACGCCGTTAGTGCATCTGGTCTCCTCAATGCCCTTCTCTCCTCGCCCACGGTGGGTGTCCCAAATCGACACCGGCTCATGCCACTGAGTGATAAGAGGCACCCCCGTCTCCTGACACACACCCCTGCCCCAGGAGTTCCAAAACAGCGGGGAAGGGAGGGCACCCCTAGCTCTACACGCTGACTCTTTCCCCCTCACAGTTTTACTGGCACATCATGCACACAGCATACGAGTCAATCATTCAACGCTATCAACCGACTTTCCCAGGAAAAAGGAATTCTGGGCAGTGAGCCAGGATGGCCAGGTGGGCCAGTCAAGTCTCCTCGCCCCCAGAGTGGCTGGGCTGCGTCCACTCACCTTGTGTCCCCACGATCTCCATGTGCAGGTGCGCCAGCCCACTGGCGGCCGACAGGGCCAGCTTGATCATGCCCTCGATGGTCACCGTGTAGCGGTTCAGATAATCGAACAGGGAGCCGTGCTCGTGGTAGTCGGAGACCAGCCACAGCTGGGTCCAGGTGCCGTTATCTGTGGAGAAGCACAGGGCCCCAGAAGAGGAGTGAGCGGCAGGAAGGAGGCGCAGCGTGAACGCAGAGGCACAGCCCTGGTGGAGCGTGGTTCCAGGTCTGCAGTGTGGACTCCGTGGGCCAAAGAAGTGTTGGGCCACTTCCCTCGAGCTCACAGCGGCAAATCCATAGAGACCAGAGCTGGGTCAGGCATAGTTTCTTAGGGTTATGGCAGAGGAGGGGCGGGGTAGGTGGGAGAAAGGGGGAGCTAATAGTAATTTAGTACAAAAATGGGGGGGAAAAACCGGTTTAAGATCAACTGTGGTGATGAATGCACAACTCCTTAATCTATTTAATCCACTGAATTGCATGCGAATGTCAATAAAACGGTTCTAAAGAAATGGTAGAGCGCCTTGGAAAGCCTATAGGGCAGTTCTGCAGTTCCCTGGGGATGCTGTGAGCGGGTCTGGACAGAGACGGAGCCCCCACCCCGCCCCTCAGGCCTGCTCCCTCATCCCTCACACAGGGCAACTGTGAGACCCAGCGGTAAAGGACCACAGACAGTGAGGAGGAGGAGGAGGCTGCACTGGGGAAAAGGCCACGGGCCTGTGCTTCCAGGCTGCCAGCCCAAGGGTCAGCAGTCCAAACCCACGCAAGAAAGACGTGGCTGTCTCTTCCTGTCAAGATTTAAAGACTCCGAAACTCAGAGGGGAAGTTCTGCCCTGTCCGGTAGGGTTGTGGTGAGTCAGCATCATGAGGTTCTGGTCGTGGAAAGATGGGCTCAGGGTCACTTTGGTAACGGTGACCTGCTGCAGTTGCCGCCACCTCGGTGGTCCATCAAACTGTGGGCACAGCCCAACCACAGCGCTGACCTCCTGGGCGTTGGGGAAGAGGACCTAAACACCTCACTGCCCCCGGTCAGGCATGCATAGAAGGTGCCTAGACACACTTCTGGTCTTATACACTGCAGGGGTGGGGGGTGGAGGTGCATGGAGGGAGAGGGATAGAGGAGGAAAAGAAGAGACGTCAACAATAGAGAATGGAACTGGGTTCTGCTGCTCTCGACGGGAAGGCTGGGAATTGGAATGAGAGCTCCCAAATTCCACGCTGGCCACCTTACAAAGGCCCAGGGCGGAGGGAGAGCCACGTCCTTCCTTGGCCCGACTACAGGCTTCCACGGCCAGATCCCGACTCCCGGGAGCTGCCAGAAGCAATCCAGGGTGCGGCCCCTGGAAGCGCCCCACTCTGAGGGCTTCTCCAGTCACAAGCACAGGCCCCCAGCACACCCTTGGCCCAGGGGACTTGTGGACCCTGCAAACCAGGCAGCTGGATGCCGCTGTGGGATCTGTTCAACGTTGAGCAAGGTGGAGGCTGCATCTAACTTACAGGGGAGTGAGGCTCCCCACGCCCCCCTTCCTCTGTGGGTGAGCCCAAGATTGCAGCCTGGGGGCGGCCGGGGCCATGACACAGAGCCTTAGCAATGTGCAGAGGAGCAGCCTGCTGCTGTCTCTGGCCAGGGAGAGGGAGGGAGGCAGGGAGGGATCAGTAAACAAACACTGCAGGCTTCTCTGTGCCAAGTGAGCAATCTGCGTCCTGGTGGCTGGTGGACCCTTGGGGGGTGGGGCGGGGACCCACAGCTGCCTCCTGGTCTTTTCTGCAGGGCAGGACTGCTACCTGCCAAGCTGTCTGTCTACCCCTCATTGGGAGTGCCCCCGGCAGGGGCTGGGTCCAGTGCGAGTGTGAATCGAGCAGCAGGGAGAGGCCCTGGCCCGCTGGAGTGAAGGAACGCTACTGGAGGGGTGCAATTCCTGCGGCTCTTGACAGGTTTGGGGAGAAAGAGGCCCCGGTGGCACTGCGGGTTGGGCCTTGGGCTGCCAACCTCAAGGTCGGTGTTCAGACCCCACTGGCCTCGTTTCGCGGCAGATGAGGCTGCGGTCAAGGTCTAGCTGTGGAACCCTACAGAGTCGCTGAGTCAGACTGGGCTCAGTGGCAGTGGGGTTGGGTTAGTTTCTCTTCACAAGTACAAGCTTCTCACAAAAGCCCTTTGGAGCCCCTCTGGGGCCCTAACAGCCACCCTGGGAGAAATGCAGGGTCCCAGCCAGGCCGCACCTCTGCACACATCCGGAGAGCCCCTCCCTCCACTGGCCTCATCGAGCTCATGGGCCCTGCTTACCTCAGCTGCCCCTACACTTGGGGACAATGGACAGTTAGTTCACTTGTCCTTTGCCCGTCCGCGAGAGCCTAACCCGGGAGCATGAGAGAGGACTGAAAGCAAAAATAACAAGTAGGGGAAGATGTGTGTGTGTGGGGGGGAGGCAGACCAGGCCAAGAGCCGAGCCAAAGGCCACTAGGGAGCCTTTCTGGGGCAGGCTGGCCTTTCCTCCGCTGTGTCTGCTCCCCTAGAAAAGTTCCCTGGGGTTCTGGTCAAGCCACAGGACCTGGACTCCAGGCCTTTCTGCCCACTCCACCCCACCCCACCCGGGGTTCCCCTTTCTGGCAGGGGTTGAGGCCATCACTCCTCCTGGTAATGAACTCCCTGGAGCCACCGCGGGGACTAGAATGAGAGGGGCTGGGGCGGGTGTCATACACTGCCAGGCAAGCGGAGGGCTCGCCACGTCTACCTGTTGAGCAAACTGGGATTCTACTTAGTGCCTCCAGGAACAACGGGCTTCACAGCTTGGTCTGAGCACCACGACCTGACCTTATTCAGGTTACACTGGGGTGGGGCGGCCGCACTGCTGGTGAGCCAAGCAGGCAAGGAGGCCCCAACCCCAAGGCCCGCCCTGCCCTTCACCTTTATTGTCGGCCGCAATAAATCCCAGGATGTTTTCATGGCGCAGCATGACCGTCTGGTAGATCTCGGCCTCCCGGAACCACGAGCGCTCCTCTCGCGAGGAGAAGATCTTCACGGCCACGTCGCCGCCCCTCCAGCGGCCCCGCCACACCTCCCCAAAGCGGCCCTTGCCGATGATCTCCTGCAAGACGATGGTTCGCGCCACGGTGCGCTGCACAAAGAGCGGCAGCCCTGTGGACCAGAGAGTGGAAGGAGCCCGTCACCGCCCAGTCACTAACCTCGGCGACACTGCCCCGCCCCCGCCCCCGGCCCCGTACCCCATCCAGGGCATCTGCCCAGGGGGGCGCAGAGAGGGAAGCGGGCGTGACCAGCTGTCCCTTGACTGGGCGTTTGCTCCTCTCAGTGTGGACTAGATCTGAATGCAGGTCTCTGACCAGACTGGCCAGCCCTGCATCCAGCCACCGGTGGGGCAACCGACGACCCACGTCTGCTCAATTTTGGCGCCAGAGGGGAGAAGGGACAGAGGTGAAGGACAGAGGTGCAGTGGGATCGGCCTTCCGACTGCTTGCTCTCTGCCCACTAGAGGGCAGTGCAGTGCGGCCCGCGGCCCTGGTGCCCGCCCCTCTCCCTCCAGGGATCAAAGTTCTGCTCACAGATGCACAAGGGGCTGTCCATGCTTATCTTAAAAGACATTTTCCTGTCTTTACTGGGCACATTTACGGCCTCATTGACTCATGCACCGTCTCACCTTGACCATCCTGGCTAACTGGACTCTGCCTCTCCTGCAGCAGACACACAGGAAGAAGCCAATCTGTCATTAGTCCCCAAGTCTCCTGGGTGTGATCGACCACTTACTGTAGCCTACTACATAATAGGCACTGTGCTGCGCAAGCATTCTCTAACGCCTCTTAACCACCCACGAGGGTGGATACTGCTATTGCCCATCCATTTTACAGATAAGAAAGCTAAAGTTCAGAGAGGAAGGTTAAGCAGCTCATTCCAACTCATACAAGCAGTAAATGGCAGAGGAGAGATTAAAATCTGGAACTGTCTGACTCCAAAGTCTACACTTTTAATGATAACAGTGTAGGTCCACTGATGCATTTCTTAAATAAAGTAGACCCCTCCTCCTCTCCATCCCCGCTGCACCTGTCTGTGTTCCGGTCCTTCTCTTTTGTAACCCACAGGACATACGATGCTCACCTACATTTCCCACCTGAGGGGCTTCGAGAGAAGCTGTGGTCCCACTTTTGGCGTATACTGCCATCTGAAGGGAGCCTGAATAACTGTGCGGATCTGAAGAAATGGGCTCCTTCCCAGCACCAAAGACCCCTTGGCACATGTGTCCCGCTAACTGCATAAAATCCTTTATTACCTCAGGGGCAGATCTGTTCTTTGTTTACTTCAAAATGCCTTCCAGTACTGAAAGTACATGGTTTCAACAAAACATTCAAACAGAAAACAATTCCATCTTGAAAGGGTTAGAGATGTTCAACTGGTCTCCTCCTCCCTGCCCCTCCCAGACTCCTATCTTACCTTGCTCCTGCCCTGCAAACCCACACCCAGCCCCGCCTCACCCCTCTCCTCCCTGGGGATGTTTGTTGGTGAATGAATGGAGCCTTGCTCCACACTGTCAGAAAAGATGAACACTCATTCCCTCACCGCTCCTCTGGCTGGGACACAGTGGGCACACTTGGGTACCCTTGACCTTGGGCCTGCCTGCCCTTCCCCACCCCTATCGTCAGCACAGCACTTATCTCTCCCCAAACACACCGAGATAAACTGCCACCCCATTTGCTCTTCCACTCAAGGTGCCTTCCTTGGCCCGGAATGTTCTCTCTCAAACATTTCCAGCTCAGACTTTAAATGTGCCCTGCTCTGTGAGGTCTTTCCCAATAACCCGTCTCTTCTATCCAGTCCCGGGTCAGCCACTTTTAATCTCCAAGTACCCTGGTCTCCTCGAAGGGCTCCCAGGTGTTTGTTAAGATGAGCTAAAAGGCACAGAAGCAGGTGGGACTTCCTCAGTTAAAAACCCCGCACCCTGGGGAGCTCTGTGCCGTCTGAATTAAGAATGAATAATGGAAAAAAATAAAAATGTCAAAGCTTATTTAAATAAAGAGAATTCTTGTTTATGTTAAACAAACAAAAAAAAAAGAATGAATGAATAACCAGAGAGCCGTGGTCAACTAACCAGATGGCTCTGTAGCCACGATGGTCAGTTCTGATTATCAAAGGGCTCCTCCTCCGGCAGCCGAAGGTTCTAACCACTGCTCTCCCTGTCAGCACAGAACAGGCCGTGTATTTTCTCCCTTTCTAAAAATACACAGCTTTTAAATATATCCATCACTTTGGCACTTGCGACTGCAGAGCTTAATAAAGGCAGAAGCACTGAAATCCAGGGGATGTCGCAGCTCCAAGTACTCCCGGTGTTCAAGGAGGAGTGTCTGCTGCCACGGCTGGCGGCCCCATAATCTCCCTACAGAACAATAGTCTTGTCACATGGCAAGGAAACATACCTCACACATGCACCCCACCCCCCTCCCAGCAGGCCAGTCTCCACAAATAAGATCCTGGATGTTTCAGCTGGAGTGGGAGCAGTGACCTTTGTGGATGATCCCCCACTTCCCGAGAAAGGAATACCGCTGTCACTAAAAGAATTGCCCTGCTGCCTGAAAAAACTCTTTGGCAGCCCTGTCCACAACAGGCAGCGAGCATGCCTCTGGACCTGAAAAGCCGCCTTCCCTGCATGCTGACTCCTGGTCCCATGGCAGAGGTCCAGGGCTCGGTTCAATTCCCCCACCTCAGCAGGACGGGGTGTAACAGCAGACAGCACAGGAAATGGTGCTGAGAACCCAAGCCTGCCTTCCTTTAACCCCCACCCAAAGCGCCTTGGGCAACTGGTATGAGTCAATGATTCACCACATCCCAACTCTCCAGCCTCACTCCACGTCCTTACACTCCCCTTGTGCCTGCTCTGGGATCAATGATTAGCCTCCACCACCTCTCAGGAATCCGGCACACTCCCACTTCTCCAAAGGGGCCTTCCATGGAGCTGTCCGGCGCTCAGGCGGAACCAGCCCAAGTTGAACCCGCATGGAATTCCCAGTGCCCTAGAGAGACCGGGTTTCTGGATGACCTCTAGAAGCCCGGGGATGGCAAGATTTCCTGTGAAGCCATATCTTATCTCAGTGCAAGTCAGGCTGCACAGCAGGGGAATTACGGAGCCCGTGACTCGTGACTCAGGGCCCGTGGACACTGGCTGCCTGCTGCTGGGCGGCAAAGGCCTGGGGAGGTGGGTACCTGAGCCGGAGCCTGATGTGGAGAGATCGTAGACGAGATCCTGCAGCGTCTTGTCTTTGGAGAGACACATCTCGCAGGAGGGGTCCTCCATGTCTAGTCGCTGGCGGTTGTGATAGACACGCTGATGGTAGTTAATGACAAGGAAGACGGTGATGATGATGAGAAACAGGAGGAACACGGGCCCGGCGATGATGCCCACCAGCTCCACGGGGCCCCACATGGAAGGGTGCTCAGGCTCCTTGAGGTGACCTGGATGGTGGGGGGAGGGGGGTGTTGGGGAGAACAAGGAGTAACATGAGGGAAAGCTGTGGTTGCAATGACCCCCAGCCCCTCCCACAAGGTCAAAGGGCTCCTTTTACCCTCCGTGTGTTCAGGGGCCCTTGACTGCTCAGGTCTCAGCAGGCAGGCTTGTCTGGCCCTGCTAACAGGGCCAGGTCAACTGTCACACCCACTACCAGCCTGCCATTTCCTGGTACCCGCCCCCCACCCTTCCCCCTACTCCAAGGGGCCCGGTAGCCCAGGAGTCAAAGCACTTTGCTGCTAACAGAAAGGTTGTTGGTTTGAACCCACTCGGCCAACCCTGGAAGGAGGCGTGGCACTCTGCTTCTGAAAGGACCCTCAGCCTCAGCCAGTGCTTAGAGGGTCATTGGCATTGGAATCAGCTCCCAGGTCAGGAGTTTGCACCTCAGCCCCTAAAAGGATGCCCGTCCCCACCATCTACTCACAACAGCTCCTCGGGCCTCTGCCCGCCTTCCTAGCACTACCCTCCCAGCCGGTAAACTGACTTGGTGCCAGGCTTGCAAGAGGCTGCAGCTAGCCTTGCTCACGGCCCATTTCCAATCCGCGCCCCTCACACTACACGGCCAACCTCCATCCCGACCAGCAGTCCTCCCCTCTGCGCAGCTCTTGGGCCATGTCTCTGGGGGTCAGACCAAGTTCTCCTGTGGGACCACTCTCTGGTTCGCCAGCCTATGGCTACTTGGACACTAGGCTATACCCAGCCTCCACCTCTGCAGCTAACTGGAAACATCTGTCTCCA